CTGCCTTTAAGGCTCTTCAGGGACAAAATTGGTGTAATTTAGAGCTGTCTGAACTGAGGTGAGGGTGTAGCTATCCAGACCTAACAGTCTGTAAATGGAAGCCAGAGATTTTTATCAAATTTAAACAAAATTCTGATCTGAGGTTTGAAGTGCGGGCGATTTATCGGGCTGTGTTCTACTAATAAATATATTGATATGCATGAATGCTACTGAATGTGGTCCAAATTCATGCAAATGAAGCTAATCTGCCCCCTTTTAGTTTAAAATGATTTCAGAAGAGGCCTCTAGGGAAATAACAAAGAAACAAATTGTCTGCTTTTTGAAAGATCTCATTAGTACCCGCTGAGTGGATCTTATACTTCATATACACATTCGCAACACTCACCTGTTTTCCTTGCCGTTTTGTAGCAGGGAGTGTCTATCAGAGTTGGATCGGTCTGTGCACACATACGTGTTCCTTCGAGTCATAGCACTAGCAGGGATGTTATTCTGGAGGAGAAAAAAAGCCTGTAAATTATGTGAGATTATGTGAAAACAAAGATTGCCCTGGATTGACCTCTGAGCTCTGCCTGTATCTGCCGTGGAGAACATTAAAGAGTTAATCTCAGATTATTCCGACTGCAGTCTTCAACCCTTTGCATGCAAACTATGCTCTTCGTTTGTCATGATTAATTTCGAATTTGATGATTTATCTCAAAACATGTAATAGTTTTACTTCTCTGATTGTCTCCAGTCTGTGGAGGATCTTTTATTTTTGGTTCCCATTATATTAACGTAGCCTTAAAGGGCTGTAATCTGAGGTAATTGGATTAGGTGGACTGTTAGGGCTCTGCCATCTGTTGTATTGATAAGGGGTTAAAAAGTGACAGATTAGATTCACTAGACGGTTCCTCCCACCCGCACGCAAAACCTTTTGGTCTTACCGTGGTTGAGTTAACCTCCTTACGCCGGTCAGGTATCTCAGATTTATTTGGGTTGTGAGCAGAGCTAACCATGGGACTGGAGGGGGTGGGGATGCTACGGGAGCCAACAGTGTTGGTGCTTGGCTTGCGTATCGACAGCCGCTCCTCTCTAAGCCCCGCCCCTTCAGCTACACCGCTGGGACTTCGTTTTGGGTGTGTTGATCCTGGAACAGCTGGACCGCCTAACAGAGCAAAAGGTTCTCAGTGAGCTAAATTTATGCAGATTCAAAGTCTCAAGATGAATAGAAACAAATAAAAGTCATCAGTCATCAGTATTTTGCCTTACAGAAATCAGAGTGTCGTCTCTGGCGGTGGTACGTGGAGGCACTGCGCTGTGCCTTATGGCCAGAAGAGGAAGACTGTGCCCCCGAGGAGCAAGAAGAAGTGGAGTGCTTGCTTGTTCCGTTGGTGATGGCGCCGGACCGGATTCGAGCCAGACTTAAAGTGCTGCTAGACCGAGAGTCAGTGACCTCCGTCTGAGATACAGACATGCATATAAAATTACAACTGGACTCGATCACTGATCTTCATCAACCGAGAGCAACAGAAGCCAGTTCATATGTCAGTCTTAATTAGTCTGGATGTCATGACTGTAGCACATCACAACTGTAAACAAATCAGGAAGCGATGGCACCAAAACTATCTATTAACTATTAACTAACTATTAACAATGACAGCTTATTAACAGCTTCATCGTAAGGTCAGGAGCAAAGGAAACAATTTACCTCCGTCTTGCGTCCCAGCAGCAGGTATGTGGCAGTGAGCTCATTGTATTTTCGATTGGCCAGCGCATCTCTGATCTCTTCTCTGGTGAATCCCATCCCAATCATCACATCTAAAACAAAAAAATACTTCAGAACTTCTGTACAACGAAACGTTCTGGACAGTTTAAAATTATGGTGCTAAATGGTAACATTGTACTGATTTTACTTAGCTTAGCCTATAATATTCCAGTGTTTGCTCAAAAGCTGAAAATTAGGCCACTTTTGAACATCAAGGCACCCACTATTATTTTTTTATCTTAACCTCCCACTAAATAAAGAGGAATGCCTCCAAAGGTTTAGGAATAAAAACTCTGCCTATAGGACCTTACTGAATATTTCTTTAACCCTTCATTTCAGTAACCTCATGAAAAGATATCATTTAATGTTAAATTATTAAGAAAACATATTAGTGATTAATATATTTCTCACCAATGCGGCTGGTATCGTTAAAGTCTTCCACAGGCTCCATGTGAGGCTTCAGCTCATCGCCATCATAGCCAATATTAATCCACTTGTCTTTCATTATTTGCTAGTCATGAAAGAAAATGAGAGAAAACACAGAAAGCTTAAAACTGCTATGTTTGATTAAACAAAACATCACAAATCTGACATTTATATTTTCTTTTTGGATATTTTCTGTGTATGCGTCTTGGATTTATTCCACTAAATGTGCAATAAACCTGTCTTCACCTCCAGCGAGCAGCGCTTGGTGGGGTTGAGGACCAGGAAGCGGCGAAGGATTCCCTCGCAGTCTGTTGACATGTAGAAGGGCACGCGATATTTCCCCCTCAAAACACGCTCTCTCAGCTCCTGAACACAACACACATCCGGACACCATTAGTTTAAACTACAGGTGCACTAAGACATCAACAAAAAAAACAATAACACAATTAAATAGAAGCTTATTGTTTTTCAGAACTGTACATTATGTGATCCTGCAGCTGTAAATGGGCTAAATGTAGAGAGAACTGAGATTAAGAGCTATTTATAATGACTTCAGACAAATTAAAACTAGTTAACATTGTAAATGTAAACTACAAGGTTAGTTTTTGCAAAACTGTTTAAATTTCTCTAATAATCTGGGCTTCAGAGGAACATGACTGTATCTAAATTAATGCACAAAAACATCTCCGTGATAGATTATTCTCAAAAAAGAAAAAATAAATGAAGAGGAAAAAAAGGCTGTAAGCTCTGAGTCACCTCAAATGACATTTCAATCTGAAAAACCCTGGCCTGATGTCACCCACCTTTAGGTTCTGTCCGTCAAAGGGCAGGGACCCGCTGACAAGCGTGTACAGAATTACCCCCAGGCTCCAGATGTCCACCTCTGGACCGTCATACTTCTTCCCCTGGAAGAGCTCCGGGGCAGCATAGGGCGGGGAGCCACAGAACGTGTCCAGTTTATTACCCGTCATGAACTCATTACTGAAGCCAAAGTCGGCTATTTTAATGTTGGAGTCGGCGTCTAGAAGCAAGTTCTCCGCCTGCAGCAAACATGGTAGACAGCAGAAAACTCTGAATACAGACAAGGTTCATAAACTCCATCAAGAATAACTGATTATTATTTTGAATCTATGACACACTTTGGGCCTAAATTAAGCTTTGTAGCTTTGAAAATGTTACAGGTAATTCCGTAAATAATGTACACTTATCTAAAAGGAGGAATTTTTAATATCTTGTGCCAAGATTCTGGGTAATCACCTTCAAGTCTCTGTGAACAATGTTCTTCTGATGACAGTAGTGCACCGCTGAAACAATCTAAGGAGACAGAAATACAACATGAGCTCATACAAGAGAACATAACTGAACCTAATGTTGTCCTTCAAATGAATGGCTCCTATACTACAAGCTCAATTCAAAGATGCCAATGCCTGCTTTCTAAACTAAATTCATAAATAAATCGATAAATCCTTTAAAACTGAAAGACTAGCTGTGCATCAAGTTTAGGCTGTGGCACACTCAGCTGTGGAGTTTCACTGACCTGTCTGAACTTGGCTCTGGCCTCTTTCTCCTTCATTCTGCCATGAGCCACGAGGTAGTCGAACACTTCCCCTGAAAATTAGATACCCATTAACAAAGACTAAGAATGATTTTTAAAACAATTAGCAGTACTTAAATAATTCTCAGTTTTTTCAACACTCAATCTACTATCATTAGACTGCATTAAAATTTGAGGATTGTAGTGAGTGGGTTTACAAATGTGCCAAACAACATTTGGTTCAAAATCAGAAGGAGACAAAAATCTCTTTAGCGTTGCATCAGGAGGGGAAAAGATTTGTAAAATTTGACAAATCATATG